GAAAATATATATATATATTTCAGAGAGGAAGGGAGAAGGAGAGAGACAGAAACATCAATGATGAGAGAGAATCATTGATTGGCTGCCTCCCGCACACCCCCTACTGGAGATCGAGCCCACAATCCAGGCATGTGCCCTTGACTGAAATCGAACCCAGGACCCCTCAGTTCACAGGCCTGCGCTCCATCCACTGAGCCAGACCAGCTAGGGCCCACTAGCCATTCTTTTAACCTCCATGAAGCCCACTTCCATGCATTGAACCAAATGAAACAATAAAGCTTTTTGCAGGGGGGGGAAAAAGAAAGAAAAAAAGAACTAGAATAGCCACAACAACTTTGAAAAAGAAGTATCAGGTTGGAGGGATCACACCACTCTATTTTAAGATTTACTACAAAGTTACAATAATCCAGAGAGAGTATTATTGGCAAAGGAAAAGAACAGAATAGAGTCCAAAAATCAAAATCACACATATGTATATTGACTTTGACAAAGATGCAAAAGAATTTTCTGGAAGAAATAGTTGTTTTTTTTGTAGTTTTGTGTTTTTGATTTTGGTTTGTTTTTTTTTTCAATAAATGATGTTGGAACAACTGGGCATCCGTATGCAAAACAAAAATCAAAATGAAAACCCTCCAACCCATATGTTGAAGTATGTTACTAGATTAACTCAAAATGGGTTGTAGATCTAAATGTAAATCATAAAACTAAACAATGCCATATATATATATATATATATATATATAGAGAGAGAGAGAGAGAGAGAGAGATATTTGTGGTCTGAGGTTAGGCAGACTTCTTGGACATGACACTAACAACTCAATCTATAAAAGAAAAAATTTATTAGGCTTCATACATTAAAATACTGTAGATGTCTAGTGTCCTGTTTGAGACATTGATAAAAATTAACACTAGAGGAAGGAGACCGGGGCTAGTTAGGGAATGGTGAAAAGAATTGAGTTATTTAGCCTGGAGAAGAGAGGAATAACATGGTAACTTTCTTACTGTATATGAAAATTTGGCCAATAGTTTATTAAGTCTTATCTGTATTACTCCTGAGGAAGGAATTTGGTTCCCTGGAAAGTAGTCACAGAAAGGCAGACCTCAAATCGTTATAAAGGAGAGTATTATGATCATTCAAACTGGGAATAAATAAAATGACCTGCCTAGATAAGCAGTGAGTTTCCCATCACTGGAAATTATTGAAAATTTTCAAGCAGATGTTAAAAATCCATCTATCAAGGTTTTGTCAAAAGGATTACTTCACTGAGTAGGAGATTGATCTCTTTAACCTCTAAGGTCTCTTCCAACGCCACCTCCTGTATTCTAAATTATAAAGCATGTTGTAAATCACACTCACCCTATGTGTGTCTTCAACTCCCTGCAACTGATTAGGTTGTACATTACATATAAAACCCTACAAAATCCTCAAGGACTCCTCCTAACATTGGCTGTCCCAAAATAGCATTTTAGGCTGTTTTAAAGATTTCCAACCAGCAACAGGGGAGATGTGCAGAACATGTGAAAAAATTAAAATTGTGCACAGAATAGATAAATAACTTCTAACAAGAATGTATAGGGAATTTTTGACTCTGATTTAAGTGTGAGGAGTTAGTATAACATCTTAAAAAATAGACTAATATGAAGTTTGAGACATATTTTGACTTCCCTGATTTGGTTTTTGCTCTAGTCTAGACAAGGTAACTGGGAAGTTCCATGTCTTAAAAATTATCAAAAGCAAAAAGAAAAACACCTATACATTCCTATCCTTTTCAATTCTTTGACTCTTCCATCTTATATTTTATTCTCTAGCTTTCTAAAGTCTTACCACAAATGAGGAGCAATAGTGCCTAGTTAAGGTCATAGTGGGCAGGATCAGGGCAGGCAACAACTTAGCAGTCATCAAGCAGACAAGGATTGGGACAAGGAGCAGGCTATGGAGATTAATTCTGACTGCAGGATGTGAATTAAAGCAACTGATCAGTGCTGGTATATTGAAGCTGGACGGGCAAGATTTAAAGCAATAGATCAGGGCCCTGGCCAGGCAGCTTAATCGGTTAAAGCATTGTCCCAATATGCCAAGGTTGCAGGTTACATCCCCATCAGGGCACATACAAGAATCAAGAATGAGTGCATAAATAAGTGGGACAACAAATTGATGTTTCTCTCTCCTTTTCTCTCCTCTCTCTCTCTCTCTCTCCTAAAAATCAATAAATAAAACTTTAAAAAAATTACAATAATAAAAGAAAGCAGTAGATCAGGCATGGGTTGGACAGGACTTCAATCAGAGGTCATGTGACATCCCGATGAAGCCAAGAGAGCCAAGTTGCAATACCAAAAGCTACGGCTGTAATGATGCCTTTCCACGCCAGTCCACAGGCCTCATCCCCTTGGTGGAACTCAGTGGATTCTCGACATTTTAAATACAAATCCTTTATCAGACATGTGTTTTGCAGATATTTTCTGTCTGTGGCTTGTCTTTATTCTCTTAATGGTCTCTTTTGCATAGCAGGAGTTTTTAACTTCAATAAAGTCCAACTTTTTTCTTTCATGGATCGCACTTTTGGTTGTATCTAAAAACTCATCACCATCATTCAATTCTTATAACAATTCTTTGATATCAGTATTTCCATTTCACAGATGAGGAAACTGAGACTCAAAGGTCAGCTAACTTGACTAAGCTCAGATGGGCAGAAGTAACGGATTTGGACTTATTGATATTCCAATATTCTCTCCACTGTGCAATGTTACCTAACTCTATTCATCTTGCCTTTTTGTTTTGTTTACCTTTCTTTCCTTTTTTCATTCAAGTCATTTAAAGTTTTTTTAACCTAAGGTGAATGTGGTTTGCCAGAAGAAATGGCAACTTCCAGAGAAAAAGAGATTGATGAAGCTAGTCCAAAGTATATCATAGTAGCATTGTTAGAAACATACAGTTAGGTAGCAATGTCAAGTGTCATGGGAGCATGGAACCCATGTGAGCATATTATAAAAGCTAAGGACCCATTTCCCTAAAGACACACACGCACACATTTTGCATATAATTTTAGGGGTTTGGATGCCATAGCTGCTCTATGACATTAGTACATGCAGAATTAATTTAGTGCCTAGTCATGTGGGGGAAATATAAAATAACATAGAGAAATAATATCTATGAAAGTACTATCATAGTTCCAGTGCATAGTAGGTACTCAGTAAATTCTTATTTAATCAGGTCTGGCCCTGACCGGTTTGGCTCAGTGGATAGAGCGTCAGCCTGTGGACTCAAGGGTCCCAGGTCCGATTCCGGTCAAGGGCATGTACCTTGGTTGCGGGCACATACCCAGTGGGGAGTGTGCAGGAGGCAGCTGATAGAGATTTCTCTTTCATCGATGTTTCTGACTCTCTCTATCCCTCTCCCTTCCTTTCTGTAAAAAATCAATAAAATATTTTTTTAAAAATCAGGTCTGATTAATGGTTAACAGTACTTTTTGCCTTCAAATAGGGAATCCACACCCACCGTTTAATGTAGTCTAGTACAAGAATTTGCCACCAGATGTCACTATTGTTCTAGAGAAACGATTACACATTCTCCACCCACTCCAACTTCACTCCAACCTTCATAGTCCCCATATGCCAAGGTTGTGGGTTTGATTCCTGATCAGGGTATAAACAAGAATTAATCAATGAATGCATAAATAAGTGGAAAAACAAATAGATGTCTCCCTCTCCCTCTCTTTTCCTCTCTCTCTAAAATAAAAATTAAAAAAACATTAAAAGGGGGAGGGGAGGCCAATTGAAAGGTAAAAAGGATCCACTGGCATATAACAATTCTGACATCCATCTGGGCTAATGTTGGATTAGACCCTTGATGGGTCAGAAAACACAGCTAGGCCCTGCTGGCATGGCTCATTGGTTGAGCGTCAACCTAAGAACCAGGAGGTCACAGTTTGATTCCTGTAAAGGCATGTTCCCAGGTTACAGGTTCAATCGCCCCTGTGGGTCATACCGGAGGCAGCTGATCAGTAATTCTTTCTCATCGCTGATGTTTCTCTCTCTCTCTCTCCCTCTCCCTTCTTCTCTGAAATCGATGGAAACAAACAACTAGCAAGCAAACAAGATGGGGTAGAAACCCAGGGTGGGAAAATAGGCTCATGTTCCATTCTTTGGAATTCATGTAAAAGGAATATGCATAATTAAATGTCTAAACTCAAAAAAAAAAAAGAAGGAAAAGAAAAAAATCATGAATTGAGGGAAGGAACGCACATTGATTTATTCAAAAAGTATTTCTTGAGTGCCTGCACTGGGCTGGGCACTGTGCAAAGTAACTAGATGGGTCAGGCCGGGTCCTCGGGATGCTCACAGTAAGTGGAGGGAGGATCAGGGGCCCCTCAGTGGACATTTGAGCTGAGGCCTAAGCGACAGAGGGCGGGCCATGCTGAGATCTGAGGAAAGTGAGTTCCAGACAGAAAGGGGGCCTCCAAAGGCTCTGAGCCCTGCCTGGCTGGAGGGCAGGCACAAGGAGCGAAAGTGGCATGAGGTCCTAGAGCAGTGGTTCTCAACCGTGGCTGCACATTAGAATCACCTGGGAATCTTTTTAAAATCCCGATTTCTGGGCCTCCTTCACAACATTAGTAACAAAGAAACAGAATTTCCGGAGGAGGAGGCCCAGAAATCGGGATTTTAAAAAGATCCCCAGCTGATTCTAATGTGCAGCCAAGGTTGAGAACCCCTGCCCTAGAGGATGGCAGGGCCAGATCCCAGCGGGGCCAGGAAGGGAACTTAGAGTTTTAAGGCTACACTTTTGACAGTGTAGAGAAACGGGGGTGAGGGGGAAGGCCTAAGCATGTGTGTTTGGAAGCCAGGACGGTCATTCCGAGGCCAAGCACCCCCTCCTGGGCCCGGGGCCAGCTTGGCGAGCCTGAGCCCCGGAACCCTGCCTGGAGCCTCCAATCCGCTTAAGGACGCGACGGGGCGGGGAAAGCGCGCGCCCGCCTCAGCGAAGCTTGGGCCTCGGGGCCCGCCGTAGACGTAGCGACAGAGGCGTCCCGTTGCCTTGGAGCCGGCGAGACGCCGCTCGGCCTCCACCTCTGTGGAGCGGGCCCGCCGCGGGCCTCGGTCACCATGTCGGTGCTGGACGCGCTTTGGGAGGACCGGGACGTCCGCTTCGACGTGTCCCCGCAGTGAGTCGCGGATATTCCACAGCGGCCTGGGGCCCCGAGGGCGCCGCGGCACGTTCCGGGCCAGCGGGCGGAGCCTGCACCCCCACAGCTGCGGCCCGGGCGAGGGTGCCAGCGGGTGTAAGCCTGTGGTGGGCACCTCGGGGAACCCTGCATCGGCCGGACACGGCGGCGCTGCCGGGGCCGGCGTGACAGCCAAACGCGTCTAAACGACACGGTTTCGGGCCCGCGCGATGCCTGGCCCGGGGACCTAGGGCGCCTGAGCCCCAGCGCCGCGGGCACCACGCAGGACCCGGCGTCCAGTACACCCGCGCGAGCCTGGGGTGGCCGTTTGGGGTGGTGGGAGGAAGAGGGCAGGGACGCGGGAAACGGGTTCGGGAACTAGGCCTAGAATAACGACACACGTTGCGAACCCTTGGATAAATGACTGCCGTCCAGTGCTTGAGGCTTCTCAGTACAATGAGGGGGTGGGCGTAAGTAAGCATCCCCCAAAACTCCTCACCGCGCAAACTTTATTTCCGGAGTAAGCCTCCGTCTAACTGTTCATCTAAATCGCCAATAGGAAGAAGGAGCCCCTTTCGGAGCCTCTCAAACAGAAGTTTTTGGAAGATGTCATGCTTTAAAGAGAGAAGAGTTAGAAATCTCTTGCCCAAAAAAGCCCAGGAAAAATGCCCATTTGGATATTAAATGTTGGAAAACAGTAAAGCTAAGGTTCTTGGGTTAATGGCGTGGGACTTATTAGCCACTTATGATTCCTTACCATGAACAGAACCTAATTAGATGGAAAAATGAAATGTTAACTTTCAAGACTTACCGTATTCGTGACTAAATATGTAATACTAGAATGATCTTAGAAAACCTTTAAGGAGTTAAAAGGGAAGAGAATTTATGAAATTATAAACCATAGTTACATATTGCACACATTCTATGACTTTTTCTGTTATTCTTGGGGGATTCCTGGTCCAAGAAAACATCCATTTCGTGAATATTTTTAGTTATTAAACATTTAACAAATGTTTGCTATGTTCTGGTTACTGTGCTAGTAGCTAGATACAAAATAATAGGAAATTATTTCCCATCCCTACCCCCATTCTAGTGCAGGAGATATACATTGACAACTCTTTTTTTAAATGTGATAAAAACTATCCAAAAAACATGAGCAAAGAGTTGGGGAACTGTAGAAACAGAATAGTTGATTCTGCCTGGGGAAGACCTCAAAAAAGAAAGAATATTTGAATTGAGCTCTGAAAAATGGTCAGAGCCTAGTCAAGGAAAACAGGAGGAAAGTATTCCATGGGGAGGGAAAAGGCAGAGTCTTGGAAGTATAAGCTTCATTGGCGAGAAGGCAATGTCTGGCAGGTAGAGGGTGGAGGTTAGTACAAATAGAAAAATAGGTTAGTCCGATTGTGAAATGTTCAACTGGGGATTTTGGACTTCGTTTTCCAGGCAGTCGGGTGACAGGGAAGACTGAAGCAGGGAAGTGACATGACCATATCTGTGTTTTCAGTATGTAATTGAGTTGGTTCTATGGAGAACGTCTTAGAAGACTCTCCTACATATTTGCTAGGTTTTGTTTTTGTTGTTTTCTTTGATATACTGGAGTGCATTCTATCAGCAAACCATTCTTCATTACTTTCTTTTGTCTCCTGTTTCTAATTGTTTACAAAGTCCTGATGATGCTTTGCTTTCCTTCCATACTTTCCTCTGTTCAGAAACCTCTGGGGGTTCTCCACTGCCCACAGGATAAGGCGCATTCCTAACTGACTAGCATTTATGGTTCTCCGGTTCTCCGTAATCTAGTTCTTACCTCCTAACCCAACTATATTTCTCACTACCTCTCAGTATGGACCTTCTTCTCCAGCCAGACCAGTTTCCTCACATTCCCTTATCATTTCTTATTCCTATGCCTCTCTCCCTCTCTTCCTTCTCTCTCTTTCCCCTTTCCTTCCCCTCCAAGTCCTACCTCTCTTTCTAGTTCCGGCTGCTCTACATGTCCTGGTCATTCCAGTCACACTTATCTCCAGGTTCTTGGAGTTTTGAATGCATGAGCATTTGGTACTGTATCCTTTATACTATTGGCTGTTTTATAGGTATATATATGTCTTTTTTCTCCCTAACTAGATTTAAGTGGGTGTATTGTAGCTTTAAAATTAAAGTATTTATATTTATTTTAGACAAATGAAAACAAGACCTGGAGAAGTCCTTATTGATTGTTTAGATTCAATTGAAGACACCAAAGGAAATAATGGAGATAGAGGTGAGTATATTATCTAATACATTTTATATTTCTGGTTTATATTAGATGGAGAATAAGATATGAAATGCATTGTATGTAATTCTGAGAGTGGGAGCATTAAATCCACATAAGACTTTTCTTAGACTGAAATGGAAGAAAGGGTAGGTATTAAACCTGTAGCCAGGGAATACAGGTTCTTCCCTCAGAACTCTGGTCCTTCAGTAAGCCCTGATTCTGACATCAGCTTCATCCAATGTAGCTGTTAAAAGTCCAGGAGCTCTGTTTGCAAGGGTCATGGGATAGTTCTGACTTTTGGATTTGCCTCCCCCCAAAAAAGAATATGGGGTAGTGGAACATAATAGGTCATAGCTGTGCTACATGGAGCTATGCTTCCTTTTAAGAAATCCAAGAGTAATGCACAATCCCTAATGACACCTAGAGATGGACATGTGGAGAGCAAATTCAATGCCGTATTATGAAGTCTAGTTATAGGTTAAGGACAGAAAATACTGTGAGACGTCTGTGCATGTCACTGAGGAGCAACAGGGCTGGACTCTTGAGTCCCTCCAAAACAAATTTTCCCAAGCAGCTGTATGGAGCCAATGACCAGTGGTCAGTAGGTGTTAGATGCATCACTTACTGTTCTTCAAGATAAAAATAGGAAATAAGGAGTGGGAAGCTTAGTGTATCTAAAAAGATCTTTGGGGGGAGAGGAGATTTAGTAGGGTGGGACATAAACCTCTTATTGAAGAGAAAAAGTGAGGAAAAGGAGCAGACCTCATTCACGTAAGAAGGATCAGTAAATCCTAGAGATAGAACAGTAGCCCTTACTGGTATAACATGCTCACTGCAGCATTTGAGTGGCTGATTCCTCTCTGAGCCTTTCTTCTGGTCTGTTCTGGGATGGCATGTGAACAGCAGGTTCATTTATGAGCCTTTCTTCTCTGTGAGAACCTAGCATCATCACCAGCTACAGGTGGATCCTGTCAGTAGCTAGAGCCCATCATTAAAGGAGTGCTTAGATCACATTTCTGAAATGCTTCCTAGTAAATGCCAAGACCAGGTGAGAATGAGTGTCAAGACTTAGTAGCAAACAAGAAGTCTTAGTGTGTGCCTTTGGGGATGGAATAATAATCTCTAGAATCTGGAGTCTAGATGGTCAGATCTTGAAAACACCTGAATTAACTTAAGGAAGCCAGGAGAAAGTTTTGGTCTCATACAGATTGGCAGGAGTTCTGATATGACATTCCATCCACTAGTCCAAACAAAGACTAAGGGTACTCACTGAGTGCAGTACCCTACACTAGCACTTTGAGGTAGGGAGGAAAAAACATCTTCCTGGCCAGAAATCTTACTATGAATAAAAATAACGCACCTCAGAAACAATTGCTCAGAAAATGGAATTTTACAGGAGTGTACAGAGCTTCTGGCTAATAAGAAAGTAAAAAAAAAGGAAGGGGCCCAGGTAGCTCAGTTGTTCGGGCATCATCCTGTACACCAAGAGGATGAGGGTTTGATACCAGGTCAGGACACATACTAGTATCTAGGTTGTGGGTTTGATCCCCGGTTGGAGTGAGTACAGGAGGCAACCAATCAATGTTTCTCTCTCTCTCTCTCCTCTTTCCTCCTTCAGTAAAATCAATTTTTAAAAAAACATATTTTCGAGTGAGGATTTTTTAAAAGGGGGGAGGGGAGAAGAATCCTGCCTTCTAGCTATCTCTTTCCCCTCCTTTCCAGAAATGTGAAAATGACCAAGCTAAGTCACTCTCAAGTTCAGAAGCCCCATGTTAAAACTATAAATATCCCAAAAGATTAGCACATTTAATCCACTTCAACTGCAAGTGTTCTGACATGGAATTATCAGATTAGCTTTACGCACTGAAGCTATATGAGAATGAAACAGCCATGTTTCAGTGTTTGGGAGATTAAGAGAAACAGGGAGAATTCTATTTTTGTGTTTGGGAAGATAGGGAGAAAAGTCCATGCTTGGAATACTGGGTTTGGATTTGTACGATGGGGTCCTTTAGCAGGACAAAGGCAACATAAGAATGCCGGAGACTTGTAGGCGATGTACCAAGAATAGAAAAACAGATAATCCGAGTTGGTCACTGGTTTTATAAGGCAAACTCTTTGTCCGAAAACAACCTTTCTTGCATGCACTACTGTCCTCCATTTGTCCCTCCAGACTCAGCACCTTCTCCACCCTTTCTCTTTTCTCCTGAGAAACTGTGTAGACTACATCAAAGGCCTCCTGTGCACTCTAGCTTCTGGTGGAAGAGCCAAGGCAGAAGATCAAAGGGAGGCAGGAGAGTGCAGTCTGGGTGTTTATTCCCCACATTCTTTCCTCTCAACATTTGGCTCTTTAAAACCTTGTTCCTTCATTTGGTAAACTGCTCCCTATCCTTGTCCCTCTGGGCCTGGGTGGTACAGATCTGCTATTTCACTTATGGTTCCTGACAACCCACCCGTACCTTTGTAATAAATCCTTTGTATAGAAACCTCAATTATTCTAATTTGAGTGTGCCATCTGTTTTCTGTTTGACCCCGATTGATAGATGCAATGTCTACTCTTCCATGATCTTGTGTGAACCTTCCACTCTAGCCAGGCTGGGTCACTTATCATTTGTCAAGCATACCATGTAATGTTCTGCAGCTTCTCTTGAGGACACCTTCCTTTATTTTTGGAATCTCCTATCCCCTCTCACCCCAACATTCATACAGGTTTAGTCTGATTTTAGATATTCTAGGGGTTTTCAGGGAGGAAGGAGTATGACCTAGCTATAGATTACTCATAGAAGAGTTCTATGGTTATAATTTGTTGAAGAAATGTTGTGTTAAACAAAGTTAAGAGAGTTTTATTATTTTAGGGTTTCTCAAAGCTATCATAATATGCTAATTGTATTATAAATCTCTAAGGTAGTTTACCATGCTCAGATTTACTTGACTTTTTTTTCCCCTTGGAGCTGCTGATACTGAGCCATTAGTTTCATGTCTACCTTATTTTGTATTGCAAAAATAAGCTCTTACTTAAGGTAACCTATTTTTTTGTTTGCTTTTAGGTAGACTCTTAGTAACAAATTTAAGAATTATCTGGCATTCTTTGGCATTACCAAGAGTCAATCTTTGTAAGTATCTTCATTAGATAACACTAGACAACAACAAAAAATACTTTGTCAAGTGAACTTGCCCAGTGGCTTTTGATACCGAAAAAGCTATACTATAAAATATGTGGAAAACTATATTTATTTATTTATTTATTTATTTATTTATTTATTTAATCCTCAACCCAAGGATATGTTTGTGTGTGGGGGGCTGTTTCTCTCTTTTCCACGTCCCGCATGGAAAAGGAAACAGTCCATTTGCTGAGTGGAGGAGCTGGGGATTAAGAAATTAAAGAAAGACCAGGACGCAGAAATAGATTTTAAGCTGTGGCCAGGTGGGCGCCATCCTCTCTGATGGAGAGGCGGCAAAAAGCAGGCTGAGCCACGCAGCAGGTTTATCTTAAAGGCCTAGATTTACCTATCTAGTTCCGCCCCTGCCTGATTAACATGTCCAGCCTTATTGGGGAAGCATGTTCCCAGGGCGTGGCTCTGCCTAAGCTCTGAATTCAGCTGACAATAATTATAAGAAAATGCCTAGGTGCCTCCCTGGCGGCCCTCTACATTTGTGTGTTTTTTAAATATATTTTATTGATTTTACTGAGAGGAAGGGAGAGGGATAGAGAGTAAGAAACATCAGTGAGAGAGAAAGATTGATCAGCTGCCTCCTGCACGCCCCCACTGGAGATGATCCCTCAACCAAGGTACATGCCCTTGACCAGAATCAAATCCAGAACCCTTCAGTCTGAGGGCTAACACTCTATCCAAACTGATTAGGGCCCAAGGAAATGTTTTTATTGACTTTTAGAGAGAGAGGAACTAGAAGGGAGGGAGGGAAGAAGAGAGAGAGAGCGAGAGCGAGAGAGAGAGAAGTATCAATGTGAGAAAGAAACATCGATTGGTTGCCTCCTGTACTCACCCCGACCAGGGATTGAACACACAACCATGTATGTGCCCTGATGGGAATCGAACCCACAACCTTTTTGGTGCACAAGACAACACCCCAATCCAGCACTCCAATCAACTGAGCCACCTGGCCAGGGCAAAAACTTTAAACTGATAAAAGTTTCAGAAATCCTTGACTAACCACTGACTGCATCAAAATTTAAAAGATGTTTTTTCAGTCCAGTTTATCTCCTGGACATATAGGAGATTAGTACTCTTACATTGAATGATTTTGTTTGTTTTTTGTTTATCTTTGACAACTTGTTAATGACCTGTTTCAAATAATCCCTAAAAAGGGAAATCTAAATTGTAATAGAAAAGTACAAACTTTCATTGTGTTAAATTTTGTTTAACTTACTTTAAAAAACTATTTTAGCCCTAGCTGGTTTGGCTCAGTGGATGACGCATCAGCCTGTGGACTGAAGGGTCCCGGGTCTGATTCGGATCAAGGGCACATGCCCAGGTTGCAGGCTTGATCCCCAGAAGGGGGCATGCAGGAAGCAGCCGATCAATGATTCTCTCTCATCATTGATGTTTCTCTTTCTCCCTCTCCCTTTCTCTCTCTGAAATCAATTTTAAAATAAACAAACAAACAAACAAAAACACCTATTTTAGATTATGCAGCTAGACATTTTTTCTTAATGTAGTTATGCTAAGATTTTCAGTAAACCAATACTGTGTACATTTTAGAGAAGCAAATTTTCTTTGTCCCATGTTATGAATGTGTTTTTTCAAAGAGGCAGAATTGACTTTCGATTTCTTTTCATTATTTAACTTAAATTTATAGTTGTTTCATGAAAATGTTTAAAAGCTATATTTTTACATTTAATTTTTTAAAACTTAAAAGTTCTGAAGACTGTCAAACTACAGCGGGAAGGCCGGGGAGGGTGGGAGGGCAAGAGGGGGGTGGGTAAGAGATCAACCAAAGGACTTGTATGCATGCATATAAGCATAACCAGTGGACATAAGACACTGGGGGGTAGGGGAGGCCAGGGGAATGTCGAGGGGTGGGGGGGGGTGAGGAAAGGAGACATATGTAACACTCTTTCTAATACTTTAAGCAATAAAAATAAAAAAAACTTAAAAGTTCTGTATATAAATTTTTTCTCAGTTTATTGTTATTCCATTCTTTAAATTCGTTGCTTTTGAATTTTAGCTATCGGCTACAACTGCATACTGAATATTACAACAAGGACTGCTAACTCTGTAAGTCTGAAAAACCTTATTGAAATATATGTATAGTGCAGAAACATGAGATATTTGAGGTTGGTGTTTGTTTTCACTGTGAGAAATTGCTTTTAAAATCTGAACTTTTGAATAAATTTGTCCTTACAGAAATTACGAGGCCAAACTGAAGCTCTTTATATACTAACAAAATGTAACAGTACTCGTTTTGAGTTTATATTTACAAATTTGATTCCTGGAAGTCCTAGACTTTTTACTTCTGTGATTGCAGTACACAGGTATGGTAATACTTTGTGGATTATTGAATATTTTTATAATAATTCTATGTTATAAAGGTTTAGAGAATAAAGTTTAGAAGTGTGGTGCTATCTTCCTCCAAGCTCTATTGCAAATATCCTGAAGATATTTAGAATACATTGTATTATCATTTAATAAACACTTTGAAGGTATTTATAAAGCACATATGACTATTGAAGATTCATTAAAAAAAAAATTTACTGAAGATTCTATTAGCTACAAACGTCGTTACAAGGAAATAGAAAATTCATTCAATGTAAATAACAAGGTTATATAATTTAATTAATGATTTTAAAAGATTATTCTTCTAATAATAGAAAATATGTCTGGGTGTTTTCCCCAAAGAGTTTTGTTGTTGTTTTGCTTTGTGGTTGTTTTGGGATTTTTATTTGTTTGCCAAATTCTTCTCTTTTCACTATTTCAGCTCTTTTTTTCTTTTTTTTGATAAATCACTTATTCTTAAATATTTATCTCATGCTCTTTATTGATTTCAGAGAGGAAGGGAAAGGGAGAGAGAGATAGAAACATCAATGATGAGAGAGAACCATTGATCGAGCCCATAACTTGGACATGTGCCCCTGAACACATCCAGGGACCCTTCAGTCCGCAGGCCGGACACTCTATCCACTGAGCCAAACTGGCCAGGGCACCTCTTTTTTATTTTTTTTATCCTACGTGCTATTATTTTTTTTAAAAGCTTGACTATGATGACAGCAAAATAAATATATATACAAATTTATACACACATAAATACCATTGTTTTAATTTGCGCTTCTTTTATTACTAGTAATGCTGAAATTTTTCTTTTTTTGCTTATTTATAGCTTTCTATTGTAAATTTCTTAATTATGTCTCTATCAGCCATATTATTGCAAATGTATTTCTTAGTTTCCTAGTTTGTTAGTTTTTAATTTTGTTGATTGTTTAAATCTACACAGTGTTTTAGTGTTTTGTTTTTTGTGTGTGTTTTTTACATATATAATTCATATAACATAAAATGTATTACTTTAAAGTTCACACTTTGGTAGTTTTGGTATATTCACAAGATATCATCACTGCCCAATTCCAGAATATTTCCATCACCCCAAAAAGAAACTGCCAGGGCAACCACTAATTTACATTATGTCTCTATGGATTTGCCTATTCTTGACATTACATATAAATGGAATCATATAATGTGGTCTTTTATATCTGACTTCTTTTTTTTATTTTATTGATTGACTTTTAGAGAGAGAGAGATTTTTGTTGTTCCACTTATTTATGCATTCATTGGTTGATTCTTGTATGTGCCCTGACTGGGGATCAAACTCGCAAGGAAGCTACCCTGCCAGGGCCAACTTCTTTTTTTTTAATAAGTCAATTTGTAACTTTTTAAAATTTTATTTTTCAATTACAGTTTACATTTAAAAAGTTACAAATTTTCTTCTGTATTTATTATTTATTAATATAGAGACATGGAAAGAAAACAAAATTATAGAGATTTTATACACACACACAGGTACACACACTGTCTGTCCTAGACTCTGTCCTAGGGTTACTTTTGGAATTGGTACAGATTCATTCTAATTCTCTATGTAGAGGTAAGTGTGAGCATAATTTCTTCAGGTTATAGTGAGAAAAAGAATAATGGTGCCTTTGACTAAAACAAATGAAGGGGAGCATTTTGATAGAAAAAATAATTTTCATGTCTATTATATAGAAGCATTGTTTCTCAGTTTGAGAGAAAATCTGTGCCCTCTCATTGTGCTGTGTGATAAGTAGTGCCTTAAAATTAGACATCTAAAAAATAGTTTACTGAGATAAAATATGTAAGTGCTACACTAAAATGACAAAATCTACAAAAGACTATAATCACCAAAACTTGCTGAAAAGAAAAAAATTTCAATTTACTGTAATAATTACTTGAGTGATGTATATAGGTACTAACAATTGTATATTTTAACATAAAGAAAGAAAACTGTATTTTCAGTTTGGGTTAGCCTCTTGTTTGTTCTCTTTTATAGAGCATATGAAACTTCTAAAATGTATCGTGATTTTAAATTGAGAAGTGCACTAATTCAAAATAAGGAACTAAGGTTATTACCACAAGAACATGTATATGATAAAATCAATGGAGTATGGAATTTATCCAGTGATCAGGTATTGTACAAAAAACTAATGAATCTTTTGGATCAGTGCCTTGATAATCATTTTTCCATTTATCATTAAGTTTATATATTCATTTAACTGTTAAAATTAGCATCATACCTCTTAATAAGTTAACATTATAACTCTTCATATAAAATAATATAATTTTCATATTTTTATGGTTTTGTCCTGTTTAACATTTGCCCTGCATTGCATTTAGAGCTGGAATGGACCTCAGATCATCTCTAGTTTAGCCTCTCCTCACTTATCGTTGTAAAACTCAGGCCCTTAAGAATCAAGTGACCTCACATACCTGGTTCAGCCCAGAGCCATGATCTTCCCCCGATGCTACTACCCTGCACTCCGCATCTTGATAACCTGTACTAATGGAGGAGAGCTAGGGGTTGGACCATCACAGAAGTTTTTAAATCTGGTCTTTATGGAATTAAATATATAATTCATTTGGTGACTCCTGTATCCATTATTGTAACTTTTCCTTTACTCTTGAAATTATTACTAGTTGAAACATGTAAGCAACTGATAGTTGGAATAAATAACATTAATTTCTAGAGAAAAATTTGTCTCTTACTAAGAATAGTTTCCAGTTTATGGTGTGTTACAACCTAGGTTACACTGACAACCACTGTGGTAAAGCTATAGCATTTGAATGATGAGCATCTTGCTAAAATAAACATTGAATCATAAATTGTAAATAAACTTTGCTCATTTGAAAAGTTCTAGTTTTAAACTATGATAAAGGTTCTATAGGAGATATACATTCCCCATCTGACTAACTACTTTTCACCAGGAGTCAGCAAAGTTTAGTATTGTTTAATGAGACTTGGTCTGGGAATAATAGTGAGTAAATTTTTTTGTATGATAGTTTTTTACAAGATAAGAGTGGAGGGGAGAATACTTCTATATATTTTATTAATTTCATTATAATTGGGAAATAGGTGATCTTTTTTGCTGTTTCAAACTTGGTCATTCCAGGAAAAGGCTTTTTAAGTTTTGGGTTTGTTAGTAAATGTTTTATGTGCAACCTCAAAGTATAAAATAAAGAAAATTCTTCTAGTGCAGTGATGGCGAACCTTTTGAGCTCGGCGTGTCAGCATTTTGAAAAACCCTAACTTAACTCTGGTGCCGTGTCACATATAGAAATTTTTTGATATTTGCAACCATAGTAAAACAAAGACTTATATTTTTGATATTTATTTTATATATTTAAATGCCATTTAACAAAGAAAAATCAACCAAAAAAATGAGTTCGCGTGTCACCTCTGACACTCGTGTCATAGGTTCGCCATCACTGTTCTAGTGTATGTGGTGGGGAGGAGGTGGAAAATGATAGAGGCAGATAATTTTGGTGCCATGTTATTAGGTCTTGCAGATTTTTTAGGGCACTTAGTTACTATATTAGGATAATTATGAAAGATTTTGAGGGGCCCTACAACTATAGTTTGATCTGTAGTTAGTGTGGAAGAGCCACAGTATAGCTCTTGTGGACTAATGAGGGTTAGCACCTGTGTTTTGTCTCTTTGGCACCACAACTCCCTTGCCTTGACTTATCCCAGGTTTTGAATAATAGTCATAATAAGATCCAGCACTTGATAGCGTTTACTGTGTGCCAGACACTGTGCTATGGGCTTTATTTACATAGGTTATTTAATCAGATATTCATTTTACATTTCATACAATGCATCAAAAAGAAATTTGCCCCTGGGTCAGACAGCTGGTAAGTACTGATAATGTAATGATTATCTAACTCCAGAGCCATGATCTCAGTAATCTAACTGTACTCCATAATTCCTGTAATCAGTTCTGGTATTTGCTGTTGCTCTGATCATGAGAGTTATTCTGGTGTTTAGAAAATAAAGAATAAGTATTTAACCAAATGATCATTGATGTATCTCTCATTACTCTCCTTTATAGGGAAATTTAGGAACCTTTTTTATTACCAATGTGAGAATTGTGTGGCATGCAAATATGAATGACAGTTTTAACGTCAGTATACCATATCTGCAAATTGTAAGTGCATGATGCATTTTGATGACCTCATTTTAATGCAGAATAATTAATTTTTGTTCAACAGTTAAGAGGATTTTGGGGATTAGATGAGTTATCTTTCTGCCTTTTTAAGTGGCAGCAGTTTAACTAAGAGCATACTTTTAAAATGTTAATAATTTACTATTTCAACATAGAAAAGATCCAATTGTACTTATAGTCAAGGGAAACAGCACCATTACAACTTGCTATTAGGAAAGAAATATACTGGATTCTAAAACTTAGTTTTCATACAGATGAAGATGTGTGTTTCTTAGATTCCATTCAAAGGGGTTTGGCTACTAAAGTTTTCCATAACCTTTCTGTGATGCAGGTATATGGTTGTTCCTTGGCATGGGTTCAGCATACTAATCCATACACTTTATTTTGGCTTTCTTGCTACTTTTTGCTCAAACAGAAAGGATATTTTATTTTTAAATCCTCTACCAAGGGTATGTCTAGAGAGAGGAAGGGATAGAGAGAGGGAGAGAGAAAAACATCAATGTGAGAGAGAAACATCAATCAGTTGCCTCCCGTATGCACTCCAGCTGAGGATTAAACCTGCCTCTTTTGGTGTGCAGGATGACACTCCAACCAACTGAGCCACCCAGCCAGGGCTCTGCTCAAACCATTTTTTTTTTCCTTTTTCTTTTTTTTTTTTTTTAAAGAAAAGCAAGCAAGAATTTATTGACCAAAGCAAAAACACACTTAGGACAGTGAAACTAGGGAAGAAGTAGCAGGAGAGCCTAGACTGGGCTGCTTTGGCTCACTGAGAAGTCAGAGAAAAGGGGCCTTGGAGACAGGTTCAGGGTTAGCCCAGGACAAGCTGCCGCTGCCCACGCTCCCCTGGTTGCAAGTCTCAGGGGTCCCTTAGAGGTTAGGGGATTCGTGCCTATGGGGAAAGGAGAAGGGAAAGAGGAGAGGGAAGGGCATGGGAGTGTTCCCTGGAGGGAGAGTGCTGTTCAAACTCTTTTAAAGACAGAATAAAATCATTCATTCTGTGAATGAACTGTTTACACTGTATTCTGATACAGCTTTGGTGAAAGAATTCAATATGGTTTTTAATGATAATGGTTTTAGCTTAAGTTGAAGCTGTTAAAATCCAAAATAAGTAACTACATCTAAGACCAATTTGTTTTGGGAAAATATAAAAGTGGTTCTTTTTACTCTGCTGTTGCTGTTATGATAAGTATGTGGAATGGTGGAACAAATAATAAACAATAAACTGAAGAATTTCATTTTATATACAATCTAGTGCAAACTAGATGGAACATAAAAATACTTAATGAAAATCCTGTGAAGTTATTCTATGATAATTGCCTTTAATGTAGTATAAGAGTAGTCTTAAGACTAAGCAGTTTCATTAATAAATATTTATGGAGGAGAAACAATGTATGTATATTTGGAAAATGTCATTTTTAAGAGACTGCTTGGCCTATGAGAAGGATGATTCTTTGGAAAATATTCTCAAGCCTATCTTTTGCTAAATTGTTTGATTTCTGAGTTACTTTAAAATATCTAATCATTCATTTGCCTGATATTGAGAAGCTGCTCTGTGCTAGATGCTAGAGATACAATCAGAAAAATCATGAACCAGAACTGTTCCTGCCATCAAGGAGCTTTCTGTCAGGTGGTGAAAAGCAACACATTAAACAGAAAATCATAAATTCTGATAGGAAGAAAATTATTTCTGGCCATCTAACGAAATACAAGAATTTATAATCATGGCTGGGAAGATGTGACAGAGGCCACATAGGTATTTGATAAATTGGTGCTTCTGGTGTTCATTGCTATTCTATATTGTATTTACATGTGTTTTGGCTTGCCTAACCTAAACTCTATTATGCTGAATAATTGATGAGTAGTAAATAATCTGTGCTTTCTGCTCTTCAAATACGGTGCTTTTTGTTCTTTAAGAAAACAGTTGCCAGTATGGCTTCTGGATAAATTCAGCCAGGCCCAAACAGCTTGCAATCTGATATCATCACAGTCTGTCACTAAGGCAGTCATAGTCTAACTTCAGCTCATTTAACACCTCTGCCATTGCCCTGACCCCATTCCTATGTATATCCTTGCCAGTTTCCATCTTAGCGGGCTATGTCACCCACAGTTACCGGGTTAGTTTACCTACTGACAATCCAGGTGCCAGTGTTTTATGGTTCTAAACCAGGACTGTGTGCACTACTGGTGGGGTGTGAAGGAGTCTAGATAGAAGGCCAGGTTTTCATAACAATTACCATTTAATCAGTCTCCCTTCCCCCTCTAGTCTCCTATCCTCCCGCCCCTCCAGGCATTTCACCTCTTGCTCCCTCTTCCTCTCTTTCTTCTCTCTCTCTGTTTCAACCTCAAATGTCTGTCTGGAAGTATAATATGCCATCACCTACCACAGACTACCCTTCTCTGTCTGTCGGTCTGCTGGTCTTAATGGTAGATCCTCCACTTTTTCTCTCTAACCCCACCCAAGTACCTTTTGTGTCACTCTCCACAGGTCCTGCCTGCCATTGTGCTTTCCCCTCTTCCCTTCTCCTAGGCCACTGATGTCACTTCTCACACCTGCTAGGCAAGCTTAATCTTCATGTTCTGCTTACCTGTGGGTGTTAGCTACATTTGACCTATCCCAGCCTTCCTAGATGCCCAGTGATGAATGCCCTCAACTTGTTTTTTTCTTTTAACAAATGGAACGGAGATTCTTTAAGAAAGTAGCCACCTGTGATGTAAGAAACAGAAGGCACATGTAACTTTTAAAAACTAAAGCAGCCATAGGAGCCACAAAAGACTCTCGCTCTGCATAACTAAAAGTTTGCTAGCCTTTGGTTCAAAATATCCAGAAAGATTTTCTGACTTCCAAGGAAATCAGAGAAATTTGTACATATTTCAGAGATGTCATCCTTATATTGCTTTATAAGTTTGCCACTTATTTCAAATGTGCAAGTTTTTTTTACTAGATCTCTGTGGGAGTATAATGAAGGAAAGAAGAAGAATTCTTTTATTTAGACTATGAAAAGTGGTATATTTTGTGAAAGTTGAAAAATATGCTAAAAATTCATTGCTATCAGATAATAAAAACAGCATCTTTTTTCTTTTTCATTTTATATCTAGCGTTCAATAAAGATTAGAGATTCAAAATTTGGGCTAGCTCTTGTCATAGAAAGCTCTCAGCAGGTAAGATACTTAATATTTTTATTAATCTTCAATAGATTTTTAAAACTATATGACAGTCTACTTTTAATTTTATTTATACTGTAACCAGTTTACATCCAAGAAGAATTTTAGCTATAACAAGAAGTTATATGAAGAGTGTGAAGTCACGCAGTAATTGTCCCCATAGGAAGAATCCTGGTTATGTTTCTTTGTTGGACAAGCATACTCATTACTATCATTATGATTATTATGTTTAATGACAGAGTCAAGTCACTGTACTTTTCGTGCATTACTTCAATCTTTACACAACTCTATGATACGGTTACTATTCTTTCCCCATTTCACAGTCAAGGAAACTGGGGCCTGGAGAATTTAGGAGCCTTGCCCATGTTCTCACTAGTAAATGGTAGGGCTAGGTTTCAATTCAGATCTGATTGATTCACAAGACTATGTTTGAGAAACACAGATATTTACAGATATACACACATACACACTTGAGACTTTATTCTCTCAAAAGATTATATTGTATCTAATTATAAATTGCTATACTCATTATACCAGATTTTTAAAGAAATACATTTAAATAAAACATTTATTATTTGTAAAATCACTCCTCTTCTCATTTCTAAGTTTAAATATGAATGTATATTCACTCCTTTCCTGTGGCCTGTTGGTCAGCTGCCATTTATTGAGTGCTTACTGTGTTCTAGGAATTGTACAAAATGTCATATATATATATATATATATCATTTTATTTAATACAACAACTTGTTAACCATTTTATGGTTAGAAAGTTGAAGCTTAGAAAGATAATAAAAGTTTCCCAATATCGTACAGCTAGCAAATTTTTTAACAATATTTTTTATTGATTTCAGAGAGGAAAGAAGAGGGAGAGAGAGAGAGAAACGTCAAGGATGAGAGAGAATCATTGATTGGCTGCCTCCTGCATGCCCCACACTGGGGATCAAACCCACAACCCGGGCATGTGCCCTGACCAGGAATTGAACTGTGACCTCTTGGTTCATAGGTTGACGATCAACCACTGAGCCACCCTGGCCGGGCCAGCTAGTAAATTTTTCATTCTTCAAGGTGATAGCCTCAGGTAGATCATCCCCTTACCTCTTTTAATATATAGTATATTCCTTTTCAAGGTCTAGCATAAGAAAAACTTAGTTCCCTTGGCCATCACAATCTACAGTGTATCTTTAAACTTGAAATATCAAGTTTGATATTTACAGATGAAATGATGTGATATCTGGATAGGCTTTAAAATAATCCTGAGTGTGTGAGGGGAGGAGATCTGGGGGAGGGTACGGTTACAGATAGAAGAATTGGCCATGCCTTGTTATTTGTGTACACTGGATGATGGCTGCATGGACGCTTACTGTACTCTTTCTATTTTTGTTTATGTTTGAAGTTTTTCATAATAAAATTTTTATTTTAAAAAATCAGCTTACATATTATGCTCTGAAATAAGACAATTATAGCTAAAATTTATCATGTATATATCCTGAAATAACATTTCTCTGGCTTGTTTCTTTTTTTTTCATTATTTTTCCTTGTAGAGTGGAGGATATGTTCTTGGCTTTAAAATAGATCCTGTGGAAAAACTACAAGCATCAGTTAAGGAAATAAATTCACTTCACAAAGTCTATTCTGCCAGTCCTATATTTGGAGTAGATTATGAGATGGAAGAAAAGGTAATTTGTTCACTGTGTGAAATACAGTGTTTGCTGAATTGTTTTCACACAATCTATAAAATTCAGATATAAATACATTATGTACAACTTAATTTTAAACTATGTTTAAAAGGTCGACTATACAGACTCTGCTCTGTGCTCACCACCTGTCTTCTCACGGGCTGCTTCGTCTTTAATTCCTGCCCTTCTCGGTGAGCAGCCTATCCAGAGAAGTCTCCATATGCAAGGCTCCTTGATGTAGACAGACTAGAATCTCTCACTCTGTAAGCTTTGTTTTTATTCTACTTCAGCCTCCCATTAGCACAGGCAAACCTTACAGACACCATTTTCTTCCTCCAAGGCCCTACAGCATAGCAACTGCAGGAGTTTGCTCCACTAATATGGTCTGTGTCCATCCCTATTCCTCAGTTCCTGTGCAAGACCAGTTATGAAATATTTTTAATATTATCCCCACATGTTCACTCTTTATCTCCCTATGATATCTGGTTTCTCACCAGTTCGACTCTCCAGGTACATCAGTTCTCTTTTGGCTTTACTTTCAGCTACTCCAGCTAGGACCCTTGTCATCTGACTTATCCCTGTGCACTCACCAGCCACTTCATTAGAGACGCCCTCTCTGTGTTCTATCAGTACCCTTGCCAGAGGCTCTCTCACTGGTACCCTCGCTGACCACTCCATCACAGGTTCCCTTGCTGTCTGTTTTATTGGGCCCTCACTGTATATCTATTGCTGGTGTCCTTGTTATCCACTCTTTCATCAGTGTCCCTACCGGTACTCAGCATGTTGACCCATGTCACATATCACATATATTATCTATATTAATTTCTCATTTAAAAGTTTATCTTAGCCCTAGCCGGCTTGGCTCAGTGGATAAAGCGTCAGCCTTCGGACTGAAGGGTCCCAGGTTCGATTCCGGCCAAGGGCACATGCCTGGGTTGCGGGCTCAATCCCCAGTGGGGGGCATGCAGGAGGCAGCCGATCAATGGTTCTCTCTCATCATTGATGTTTCTGTCTCTCCTTCTCCCTTCTTCCCTCTGAAATCAATAAAGAAATATATTTTTTTAAAAAGTTTATCTTAGTAATTAAATTAGGGTAAATAATTTTCCAAGTCAGTAAAATACACTAAGACTTGGTAGAGTATCTCAAATTCGGCATACCTATAATGGCAGCGTTTTTCTCAAAAGCAGCATCCTGCCGATTTACTTATTTATTTACTACTTACTTATTTTTAGCGTTGTCAAAGTTGGCTATACTCAAAACCATGGAGTTCCCCCCCCCTTTATTTATTTGTTTATTTGTTTGTTTATTTTAGAGAGAGAAAAACGTTGAGTTGTTCCACTCATTTATACATTCATTGGTTGATTCTTATATGTGCTCTGACTGGGGATCAAACTCACAACCTTGGCATATCGGGACAACACTCTAACCAACTAAGCTACTCAGCCAGGGCTTTTCCCCATTATCTTATTTTATACATTCAGTGGAGTATACCAGTCTCTTCCCTGTTCCTATCTCCTTTTTTCCATACAAACCCAACTTCAATCCTAACTTCACTATTTATTTTTGATCTTAGGCAAATTGAGTTTCAGTTTTTCTCATTATAAAATGAAGATAATACCCCGGCCAGTTTGGCTCAGAGGAAAGAACATTGGCTTGTGGACTGAAGGGTCCGGGTTCTATTCTAGTCAAGGGGACATACCTCAGTTGCAGGCTCAATCCCTGGCCCCAGGTGGGGCACATGCGGGAGGCAACAGTCGATGTGTCTCTCTCACATCAAAGTTTCTCTCTCTGTCTCCTCCTCTCCCACTCTCTCTAAAAAAAAATTAATGGAAAATTAATAAATTAATCCTTGGGTGAGGATTAACAAAAAACAAACAAACAAAATTTTAATAAAATAATAAAATGAAGATAATCTCTCTTAAAAAGTTACTGATTACCTAAACAACAAAAAAAGTTATTGATAGCCTGGCAGGCATGGCTCAGTGGTTGAGTATCTATCGACCTGTGAACCAGGAGGTCACAGTTCAATTCAATTTCTAGTATGGGGCGAGCATGAGGCAGCAGATCAATGATTCTCTCTCATCATTAATGTTTCTCTCTCCCTCTCCCTTCCTCACTGAAATCAATAATATATATATATATACTTTTTAAAGTTATTGATAAAAATGTTATTGATCATATCTATAAAATGTTTGGCACCTGGGAGATACTTGGCTTGTTAGTTCTACCCATTCTTTCTCTCTTTCCCCCTTCTTTGGCCCCAGTACATATAATAGCCAACCATAATAGCTCACTCTGTCACCTCATGTAAATCCCTACTCGAACAGCCACCACTCCAGGGAGGTCTTCCCTGACTATCCATCTAAAATGGCAACTCCACCCTAGCCAGTTTGGTTCAGTGGATCAAAGGGTCCCGGGTTCGATTCCAGTCAAGGGCACATACCTTGGTTGCAGGCTCCTCCCCAGCCTGGGCCTTGATCAGGGCTCATGCAGGGGGCAACCAATTGATGTGTTTCTCGCACATAGATGTTTCTCTCTGTCTTTCCCTCTCTATTCCACTCTCTCTAAAAGTCAGTGGAAAAAATATCCTCAGGTGAGGATTAACATTAAATAAATAAGCAAACAAATAAATAAATAAAATGGCAACTCCCGTCACTTTTTTGTCCCTCATTCTGCTTGCTTACTTTATTTTCGGTAACACTAATCAGTCTCTTCTGCTATAAATAAACTCCATGAAGTCAAGATTTTTATCTGTTTTCTTTAACCATTATATCTCCAGCAGTCTCAACTGGTACAGAACAGATTCTTAGTGAATATTCAGTTGTTGAACACATGTTTGCCATTCACTGCTCTAAGAACTTTATATGTATCATCTCATTTAATCCTCTCAACAATACTATGAAGTATATTATCACCTGCATCCACAGTTAAGGAGACCTTAGACAGGTTAAATTACTTGTAACAGTCACACAGCTCTGAACATAACTTGAAACACTGAGGCTAACCTCAGAATATGAAATCAGTTTACTCTCTTATCAAGCAATACCCTTCTACTCTCAGCCCTCCCCCACCAAATACCTATCAATAAAGTCCAAATTTTTTGAGCTGATATTAAAGAATTTCAGTAGACTTCAGTCTACCTTTCTCACCTTAGCTGCACAGCCACAGTATCTGGTTGTACATGCACACTGTTAACTCGAGAGAACATTGTTCACATGAACTTTAGTGTGAATGATGCTCCCTAGTGTTGTTCAGTACTAGAACCCTACTTAGTTCCTTCTGTCTCATGGGATTCTTATATTCTGACCATACTGGGTTATTCATCATTCTCCAGCCACATCCTGTGATTTTTCACCTTTGCTGATGCTGATCCCCTCTGCCAGAAATACCCTTTCCCCTAATCTCCTTATGAATATCATCCTCATCCTAAAAGCCCTAGATCAAGACCTCTACATCATGAAAATTTCTGGGATTCACAATTCAGAAGTTGTGCTTTCTCCAAACTCTTTGATTATAATAGATAATGCTTTTGTTACAGCTACTTTTGTATGTTAAACCAAAGATATTAGTAACATTTTACCATTTTCAGCTAATAAAAATGGCAATTTCAGATGGTTCAACCTAATATTTAGTTATTTGTAATTATATTTTATCCTTTGCCCCACCTTCCACTAGATTAAAAGCCTTTCGTGGTTAAGGTCAGGGACTTTAAACCCTTGGTAGCACTAGCATAGTACCTAATATACCAAGGATACTCCAGTATTTGAAAAATAAGTTCATAAGTATAAGTATTATATTATGTTTTACCTTTTATAATATTCCCTACAAAGCTTAGTTCTTTTACTTTTCACAGGTTCTACTTAATGATTATTTTGGAGGAAACTTTGTTTTGTTTAACTGTATGAAAGAAAATCAGATAAAGTTCAATGAGAGTTTTTTCTTTTAGAATATCTGTATTATTTTAGAATTCTATCTGTAAGATTTCTTTTAGAATATCATATTGAGGATGTGTAAATTTGTCATTTTAATTCTTTTGATGATATCAATTTCAGATTTAAAAGCTTAGGTTTAACTGACTCATTTTATTACCCAAGTTAGTTTTAATAGAATATGTTATACAATGAATTTTATAAGACTTGAATAGTTTACAATTGTGTTATCCTCTTATAAATTTATAATTCTCAGTAAATTTTACTAAAATTATTTGTTTAATTAACATTGTCTCTTTAATGCATTTTTTTGTTTGTTTAATGCATTTTAACATCTGATTTTCAGCCACAGCCTCTTGAAGCTCTGACAGTTGAACAGATTCAAGATGATGTAGAAATAGACTCTGATGATCACCCAGACGCTTTTGTGGTAAGCATCCTAAAGGAAGTTACTCAATTTCTTGTGATTCTGAGTCACGTTTTATTAAATAATAGATTAAGTATGTAAATACCATTGAACTTGAGACTTTTGAGAGTATTTTAAACATGAGTTGGAGTGTAATTTTTTTTTAAGTTAGGGGTTTTGTGTGTGTGGAAATATTTTTTAATTACCAAACTGGGAAATAGTTTGAGAACACAATTATTCAGATTTCAGATATGTGAAAAGTTTTCCATACTTTTAGAATAATAGAAAATGCTAAATATAGTTAATTAAATTAATTTAATATCTGTACTTTCTATTTATAGGTATTACTTTCAATTTATAGGTATTTTATCTTAAAATGAATATCTATTTTTAACAATAAACTTTCCTGTTTCTAAATTTGCATTATGTAATTAATAGTCAAAATAATAATAATGCTTACTTTATATTGTGGTCTAAGAATCTGACATGTTCTCTGAGAACATATATTTCTAAACAAAACTGAAATTAGTATAAAATATTTAATTATAAACTTCTATTACCTTAAACTCTATGTATTTTCTGACTGATTACTTTGTTTTGTTTTGCCAGCATCTTCTTGTAAACAAAAATTAGGGATGATATTTCACTACTCTCTAAGACATACTTTTTATCTTTTAACAAAGCACAATTTTTAGACTTTAAAGCACAACTCTTGAAGATCTTAATAATGACGGACTGAAAAAGCAAATTCTGCTACCAGCATTGTAAAGATAATTAAGAAAATCGTTAGACACATAGTAACAGAATATAAAATATATTGTCATAGAATTGTTCTGTAAATTAATTACCTGTTCCTTAGCTCACTGACCCATTATAATATTATGTCACATATGTGAAATATAATTTTCTTTATCTTATAGGCTTATTTTGCTGATGGCAATAAGGTAAGGATATTTTACCTATAGCATGTGAAAAAAATACTTTCTATTTTCTAACATTTAGTATTCACAAACTTATGTGAAACCTATTTTTTGTTTTTTCCCTCTTCTATGCCTACCTTCTCTATTCCCATCTCATCCTCTTATCTCCCAAAAAGCAACAAGATCGTGAACCTGTATTTTCAGAAGAACTGGGGCTTGCAATAGAGAAATTGAAGGATGGATTCACCCTACAGGGACTTTGGGAAGTAATGAGTTGATCTTGAGTTGAGCTGGATTTTTATTTAAAGATATCTCAAGATTAAAGATACTAGTTGTCTTCTATAAGGCATGGAATCGTTTTTACATTTACAGAAAAAGCTTTTAAGAAAGAGTTTTTTAATGATTGAAGAAAATTTCATTTAGGCTTTTACTATCAGTTTTTTAAAAAATTATATTTGAAACTGTAATCAAAATGTATCTGGTTTGTAAATATGTCTATTTTGTTCCTAATACTTGTAAACTATTAGTCTGTGGATAGTAAATGAATGTATCACATTGGGTTTAATAAAAACTTTATGCAGCACCACTTAATGTTTTGAAAGTATTATTTAAAAGAATAAGACTATTCTTATGGAATAATCAAATTACAACTGTTAATTATAAAAATCTGCTTTAAATATATTATCATATAGCTACAATGTAAGCCAACTCTAATATAAATTATAACCCTTAAACTTGTCATTTTTAAGTAATCATGTCTATAAAAATTGTAGCTAACTCTGGAATATATCAACTCCTATGTAAAGTTTTGAGCAATTTTATAAATAATTTCAATATAGTTTAGGCAAGAACACATTTTATTTTGTAAGTAAATAATTTTAAATAATTTATAAATAAATAGTTCATTTATTGACTTCATCCTTGTTTGTATTAATTGAAATTTCTTTGAAGTTTTCAAAAATCAGTTTTCTGATTTCTTGGTTAGGTAAGATGTGGTGACTTCTCTGGCCTCAATGCTTTTTGCCACTGCTTTGTATAAAGAAACGTCATAAGGAACCTTTGTCAAATCATTGAAATTAGCCAAAGGAACCCTCTTTAGTCTAGAGCAGTGGTTCTCAACCTTCTGGCCCTTTAAATACAGTTCCTTATGTTGCGACTCAACCATAAAATTATTTTCGTTGCTACTTCATAACTGTAATGTTGCTACTGTTTTGAATCGTAATGTAAATATCTGATATGCAGGATGGTCTTAGGCGACCCCTGTGAAAGGGTCATTCGACCACCAAAGGGGTCTCGACCCACAGGTTGAGAACCGCTGGTCTAGAGGGAAAGGAATAAGCATGTAAAAACATTTAAGATAAGGTTCAAGCAAGTGCTGATTTGCATCTAATAAACAACAATGACTAAAGCTATAAAATACTTTATTTAAATAGGAAAGGATTTCTACATTTTATGGGGTGGGGTTATATGATAAACCTATATTAAGGGGAAAAATGGTTGTTGGAAAAATTTATAAGGTCACCAAATGATACCAGGAATATTGTTTAAGTAGTTTTTCAAGCAAAAGTGACTATAAAATTGTCAGCTAGTAAGGAATAATCTCAAATAACATTATCATGGTGTTTGTATCTGACTCAATCTTTTCAAATGTTAGGTGTTACGTGTAGAGAGAAATGAGTCACTTATTGTTTAAATAAGGGAGCAGCTGTGAGTTTTTCCTAGTGTGTTAAACCGTAGTGCCGTCTATAAATGGAAAAAGAGTCAATGAGCTCTTCTTTCAGCTGTTGTTTTAGCAGCTGACGGTACCACTGACTTCACTATGATGTAAATAAGAGAAAAAACCTTTACTCATGGATAGAGATCTTGAAGTTTAAAAATACATAATTCTCTAATCTGAAGGCATAGCACTGAACAAAACAACACCCCCCTATCCCCCCCAAAAAATTCCCTATCTTCATGGAGCTTATGTTCTTTTGAGCATGTTTAAGAATACCAAGAAGTGGTACATATATGCAATGGAATATGAAAAAAATCTTGCCATCTGCAACAACATGGATGGACCTAGGGTGTATTGTGCTAGTGAAATAAGTCAGACAGAGAAAGTCAAATGTCAGATGATTTCACTTAGAAAACAAAATAAATAAGCAGAACAGAAAGAGACTCATAGAGAACATTTTGATGATTGGCAAATGGGAGGGGAGTTGGCAGGATGAGTGAAAAAGGTGAAGGGATTAGGAAATACAAATTGGTAGTTCCAGAATAGTCATGGGGATGTCAAGTACAGCATAGGGAATATAGTCAATAATATTATAACAACTATAGTGTCAGGCAGGTACTAGATTTATCGGAGTGATCACTTTGTAAGTTATATAAATGTCTAATCACAGGGTTATACACTTGATATTAATATAATATTCTACATCAACTGTAATTGAAAAATAAAATATTATTTAAAGAAAAAGATACTAACCATTGATATTACAGTATTTCTACAGCCCCACTGAGTTCAGAAAATGTGACAATATAATTTTGTAATAAAATATTTCATAAGTATATGATGCTATCTGTATATAAAAAAATCAATTTTCTTTCAAATCATGCTTTCTGAATTCCATAATTAATATGGTGTTCTATTATAATAAACTTAAATTATGGTTCCACTTATACATTCTTTTTTTTTTTCTTTTTCATGTATTAGACCTGTTTTCCAAATTTATACAGGTGATGTAGCATTTCATCTTGGTTTTGCTATGTTCTGTTGATAACATTGTTCTCATGGGGTTACATCTGTTCTTAACTTTTTCTTTAATGAAAAATCATCTTAAACACTTTACATCATAGGATATCTTTAGTGGTCAAATTGTGTGTGGGTTTATTTCTCTAGTATTGACTTTAAACTATTTTTCTTTTTGGTCTTGATGACAGCTTTTATTTTACTTATTTTATTGCTGTTGTTTGCCACACCAAATACTATGTAGAGTGAGACAGAGTGTGAATAAAATAATTTTATAATTTAATTCAATATCAATTATACTTTTTCCATTTAACAAAGATAATTTAGAATGTCTTAGAAAATTAGCAGTTTCTCTATACTTATTATTTCAGTTATGATGAGGGTATTATATTTAATGTTTTTCTAAAACCACCATAATTATAGAACATAAATAGAAGTCTTTTGGTGTCCTGTTTCTAAAAGAAAAGTATATACCTCACTGTTGTAAGTTGAAAATAAAACTTGGTAACAGTTTTTGGAAAGGGGATCTTGCTTGAGTATTCAAATGAACTCACCCCATATTCTTAACCTTTGCATGATTAATCAGATAGCCAAGTAGCTTGCCACCAGACCATTTTTAGTGGACTGACTCATTTTTATGATTCAGTTTTCTGTTAATTCAATAAACATTTTCTTGTGGTAGCCTTTATTAGCTGACCTCCTAATGCTTTATGTATTTTAAAGCTTTCCACTTCATTTAAATCTCTTGTTTCTGAGCTGTTTCCTTCGTGATAAAAAGTTTCAGTTGTTCCTTTCCATCTATAACAGCTGCAAGAACCACTCTTCTTTCCAAACCAGCTCTCCTGAATTCCCGTTGTTGGAGTTGGTATCTATATTTAGCCGGTGGGATTAAATTGCAAAGGCTTCAGGCTGGGCAAAGCACACTGCTCTGCCTCTTTACAGCTAGACCTGTGTGCTGCACGGAGCTAAGGCCTTCAGTGTCCCCTTCCTCACCCAGGTGACTCCCAAAATGGAATCGCAGCGGGAACTCGCAGAGGAACTGCGGCTTTACCAATCCACCCTTCTTCAGGATGGTCTAAGAGATCTCCTGGATGAGAAAAAATTCATCGACTGCACCCTAAAAGCTGGCGACAAAAGTATTCCGTGCCACAGATTGATTTTGTCAGCGTGTAGTCCTTACTTCCGTGAGTATTTTTTATCTGACATTGATGAGGCGAAAAAAAAGGAGGTAGTACTAGATAATGTGGATTCTGCCATGCTGGATTTAATCATCAAGTACCTCTACTCCGCCAGTATTGACCTCAACGATGGAAACGTGCAAGATATTTTTGCACTGGCCAGCCGCTTTCAGATCCCCTCCGTGTTCACTGTCTGTGTCTCTTACCTTCAGAAAAGACTGGCTCCTGGTAACTGTCTAGCCATCCTAAGATTAGGACTTCTCCTTGACTGCCCCAGACTTGCCATCTCGGCCCGGGAATTTGTGTCTGATCGCTTTGTACAGATTTGTAAGGAAGAGGACTTCATGCAACTGTCGCCACAGGAATTGATCTCAGTCGTTTCAAATGACAGCCTAAATGTAGAAAAGGAAGAAACAGTATTTGAGGCGGTGATGAAATGGGTGCGAACAGACAAAGAAAGAGTTAAAAGCCTTAGCGAAGTGTTTGATTGTATCCGTTTTCGCCTGATGACAGAAAAATATTTTAAAGATCATGTTGAGAAAGATGATATCATTAAAAGCAACCCAGAACTCCAGAAAAAAATCAAAGTTCTCAAAGACGCTTTCGCAGGCAAACTTCCAGAACCCAGCAAGAATGCAGACAAGGCTGGGGCTGGTGAGGTGAATGGAGATGTTGGTGATGAAGATTTACTTCCTGGTTACCTGAATGACATTCCCAGGCATGGAATGTTTGTCAAAGACCTCATCCTCTTGATTAATGACACAGCTGCAGTGGCTTATGATCCCACGGAAAATGAATGCTACCTTACTGCATTGGCTGAACAGATTCCCAGAAATCATTCCAGCGTCGTTACCCAACAAAATCAGGTATATGTGGTAGGAGGACTATATGTGGATGAAGAAAATAAAGATCAACCTCTACAGTCATACTTCTTCCAGGTAAGAAAGGCGATTTTTATACAAGTGGAGATACAAAGGCAAGGTGGTTACTCACCATCCTCTTAGCCGATTTGCAAATTATTCAGGCTGCTTGCATTTTATTCTACTTGATGTCCTATTCCAGTCCCAAAAAGCTATAATTGAACAGATTTTCTAATTTCTTCCAAGTTTCCTGAAACTAATTTGTCACCTCTTGTTTATGGTTGCTGCCTATAATATAATTTTGTTGAAAGTGAGAAGAACTTGTGTGTGTATATTTCGCACTTTGCATTACCTTCTAGGAAAAACTGTCTGCACAAGTGTCACAAATTGGAATTGATTCACAATATTAGGAATTTACTATGACTTTTTATATGTGATAAATGATCACATTTATTTGGATCACAGTTATACTTAGACATTATTACAACTTAATCCGTTTTGTAAAACCACAGAAGTTTCTTAGAAAACAAATCCTAAGCTAATAGACTCTTTGTAGTTTGTCTGAAGGGAGTTTGTTTCATATTAGCAACACCTTGTACTTGATCAGTTTATGAAGGAATCAGTGGCTTCACCTTTATCTTCACTAATGCCAATGCCAGTATTTTGCAGCTTACGGCTAGCTCAAAGAGTTTGTTTAGTCATGGCCTGGGATTTCTGGGCACTTGAGTTGGGAAGGCTAGAGCTAAGTAAGTGTAGACTGTCATGCCACAGTAACTACGTACTCTCAAAGTGTGTGAATACTGTGCATTCACAAAATAT